CGAAACGCGTCAGTTCATAATATAAATCGAATATTAAAAGGGTGCATAAATATATAAATCGCTATATAGTTGTCGCAGATCGATCGCGACCGCAACGACTCAATTCACGTTGCATACAGCTCAAATCTCGAAGGTATAAGCAAAAAAAAAAAAAAAATGAAATAAAATGAAACAAGGACAATGTAAATTTCGGGTACAGCAGCAGCAGCGGTAGCACATCATCAGCATACTTATGCAGTCATGAGAGAGGCGATTCATCACGCACAAAATAACACGCGCGGCAGCTCACGGGGCTACCGTATGTGTAGTACAGCGCGCGGTCAACCGCAAAACTGCGCGACTGCGCGCGTGTGTGTATGTGTGTGTATACACAAACGCGACACGTAATACATCATATACACATACGTATGTAAGTGTGTGCCCAGTGCACGTGTAATCTACTCCGCGCGCAAAGGTATTTAAAGCTGCTGCTGCTGCTGCTCGCGCGTAATCGAATACGAGTGAAACATCTGCGCTCGTGTGTGTGTGTGTGCGTAAGTGCGAGTACAGATTGTCATTTCGGAGCTGCAGCCGAATATATATATGTATATCGGGAGCAATAATAATATAACACGTAAGCGAGCGAGAGAGCCAAGGAGCCATTAAAAGAGCTTTGCACGAATCGTGTCGCGTATAATATCCATATACACGTAGTATATATAGGCATGAAAGGCTTCCTTCGTGCCCGCTAGCTCGAGCTCGCGCCACATGGTCCACGCGACCAAAATCGATGCTGCGGGCGATATTTCGGCGTTCCACGAAGAAAGAAGACAAAAAAAAAAAAAGTAACTCGGGTGCTGAGCCGATCGTCGACACTGCCCCTTATTACGCCTCGATATCTCTCGTGCGCGCGCGCGACGCTGCTGCACTGGTATGCGCGTTACGTGTATAAGTAGCCCCCCGTACGTATGAAAAAGCAGGGGGAGATTAGTTTAGATTTATTTTCATTCTTTTTTTTTTATGCTGTTGCTGATGCTACTTTTTTGGACGACACGACCTTTTTGCGCGCATTGACTGCCTTGCCGATCGCGAGATACATCTATGGCGTGGTTCGCTGCACTTTCTTTCGACGCTTTGAACGAAGAAGCTCGTCACCGCTCAAGGGTAAAGATCGTTTCATGAGTACGAATGAGAACGCAGAGTTTGAGGTTTTTTTCTATAGTATACGTGTTTAGTGTTGACGAGAAAACGATGGATTTAATGCAGATTTAAATCTACTAAGATTGAAGTAAATATGCGTGCACTGAATTTTATTTCAGATATTTTTCGTTGAAAATCAATGTACAAACTGATTTATTTTTCGCTAATTACATGAAAAATGGACAAAAACTTAATCGTAATTGAAGCTAGCCTACGCTACCAGATGGCGAGCATACCTTTATCCACAAACCTGCAAGTGGCAAACCTGAAATAACTACATAAGTCCAAACGTTGTTGTTGTGAAAAATTAATATTAACAAACTGATCTTTTCGTCACTTTTAAACCCATAAGTCGATTTTGGTTGTTTTTCAAAGTGCTTGGTTTTTCGTTGCAGTCTAACTGAATACATGACGAATAAAATAATTTAGGAAATGCATTCTGCAAACGCGCGAGCTTACTGTTAATTTACCCCGATTTGAACATCGATGTAAATATACTGATACGGAGCACATAAAAAAAGAAATTTAATTTTATTCTCAAATTTAAACTTATTGATTAAATATTAAGGTTTTAATAGTAATTTGTTATTGTCTGAAAAATCTATGAAAATTCCAATATAATCAAAGCGAGTATCTCCCGCTAGATGGCGAGTACCTTTATCTGTAAAACTGCAAGTGACAACGTACAGACAATTGCATAAAGCTCGGTGGTTATAAAATAAGTTCTACAAATTAAACTGTACTGCTGATTTTAAAAACAAGCAATTTTCGTTCCACCCTAATATCTATGTGAAATACGATTATGCCTCGTGGGCATGAGCTGCACATAACAGACATCATTTTTGAAAATACACTTTACAGCTTATTCCATCGATATTATTTATATGACAAACGTGACACGTTTCAACGGATTCGAACGCAGTGTATATACCCGCTCGGATCCCGCGGGGCCCGTACCTTCCATTGTTTATTCGGAAGCGATTCAGCAGCAACAGCGTCTCAACGTTCGCTGCGATCAAGTATTTACAACGGAGGGAAAGCGAACGCAGCGCGTAATCTCTTTTTAATGCCCGATCGCCAGCTACGTGCGATTTAACCCCTTACACGCAGCTCTGGAAAAAAAAATTCTCGCAAAATATCTATGGTCGAATTCAAATATTATATACGAGACGAAGCTCTGCTCGCCCGTCAAAGCCACATATAAACGCGTACAGAGGAATTGTCGAAAAAAAGAGAAGAAATATACCGTGGCGTGTATAATCCTCGCGCGAGGATGGGGACAAGTAGTATTTATAATCTAGCCTCTCACCCCTAATATTAATCCCGGGGGACCGTCGAATCGTCGTTGAAAAATCGTAAACAACTTACATGATATGTGTGTGTGCACGAGCTCCCGGTATATACAGGCTAAATCGAATACGGTATATAGGTAAGTGCAGGGCAGCTCTAGCTATATACAGTCCAAAATACTATCGCGATCGGGGAATAGAGTGCCAGAAATAGCGTCTCGTTGTAGTCCTTTCAACGCTCGAACGAGAGAGGATCGCTTTCTTCGCTTTTTTTTTCATCTCGCGCCTCGCGATCTACTATACTTTTCGGGACGATGGCACGAGATCGCGCGACTCGATTTCTCTACGTCTATTATGCGCGTTTATGTATAGCTATATGGGCTACCGCAAAGTCGTCGCTTCGAGTAAAGTCGAATAAATGAAAAAAAAAAAGAAGAGAAAAAATAAAGAAAAAAAAGAAGGGATTTGGCATAGGGTTCTGTGTACAAAAAAATAGTCGCGGTGCCCCCGAGAGATCGTGATTCGCGCGCAGCATCGCATGGACTGTAATACTCTCTGTGGTCGCGCGATCAACGCGCGGGTCTTCCGGCTAGCGCACGTGTCCTCTTTATATTGATCCAAATATATATATATATATACTCTTCTTTATGTTTAGAAAAATATATCATATGAATGTATGAAACCGCAGCTCTCGTGTGTCACTGCTACTCGGGGGATTCTTATCGCCGTCTTAGAGAGGAACTGCAGCAGTTTTTATTGCTTTGACTTTTTTCATATCTATAATACACAAATTTATGACGACGACTCGAAAATATATAAGCGATGATGATATATCCGGTGATGAGCTCCGAATTGATATAAACCCAAACTTGCGTTATTCGAGGCCGCAGTTCACTAATTTTGAAATAAAGAGATTTTCACGCTGTACCGGCACGCACACAGCTCAACACACACACAAAACACAAGGGGGGTCTTCTCTCCAGAGAGAAAGAATACAAAGGGCAATAAGTCATCGTATTTTAGGATATTATATAGAGTCCTTCGATTCGATATATATAATATGTATAATAACTCGTCGTCGCCTCGCGCACACGCTCGTTAGTACACTTCGTTGTATTGTATATAATAATATACAGCTTAAATGGCGTGGAGAGCCGAGCTAAGCAATTTTTCATAGTACACACATACCCTTTCGGCTGGATGCATCTACTTATACTTACCCTTCCCCCCCGAACGACACATTGTTTCGTATAATGTATATGGGCTGAATCGCGTCAACTATCCCCCCCTCTTTTTGTTTTGATTTTTCATATTTTATTCTGCTTTCCAAGAGTGAATGTGAAAAAATGATTGAAAAATGATTTTTTATGTAAAATTTTATGAGGAATTCAAATTTGATGTCAAACATCATATTCATAAACTCCAAGTACCGTAACTCCCAAAAATCAGCTTAAGTGGCAAAAATAAACATGTTCGTATCCAGCGATATGGCCAATCGATACACCAAAATTCAACTTCTGATAAATTTTGGTAGTTGGCAGACGAACAGAATTCATTATTGACCTTCCTATGTTCCAATAAAACATGATTTTTCTCTAGATTTCCTCTATTCTTGACACATATGTGACACATAAGGAAATCTAGAGAAAAATCATGATTTATTGGAACATAGGAAGGTCAATAATGAATTCTGCTCGTCTGCCAACTACCAAAATTTATCAGAAGTTGTATTTTGGTGTATCGATGAACATATTACAATATTGGCCATATCGCTGGATACGAACATGTTTATTTTTGCTACTAAAGCTGAAATTAAGAAATTAAGGTACTTGGAGTTTATGAATATGATTTTTGACATCAAATTTGAATTCCTCATCAAATTTTACATAAAAAATCATGTTACAATCATTTTTTCATATTCACTCTTGGAAAGCAGAATAAAATATGAAAATACAATACAAAAAGAGGGGGGGGACAGTTGACGCGATTTAGCCCATATACATAATGTGTTATTATATACTTGCCGATGTATATGCGCGCGCGCGCGAGTATCGTAACTCTACACTCTATATTTGGCACGGGTGTCGTTTTTATACATAGAAAGAGAAAGAGGGACTAAGCTAAATTATCGAGGCAGGACCATAAGCGGGGGTATGGGGTGCAGTGCATGTGCTGCTGTTGCTGCCTGTGCACCGCCGCGTATATTTATTATATATATAAGTATAGAATTCCAATGGGGTGCAACAGCAGCGGCGTACGCCGTGCACAATAATGCGTGGTGTATAACGTGTGCACGTGTAATGTGCATAACCATGCAGTGCTGCTGCTGCTGCTGCTGCTGGTGTATATATGAGCAGGAGTGGATGTGCACCGGGCATACGACGACGATCGACGTTTAGCTTACATATTTTATATATATATGATATATAAAGCGAGCTTCGAATATTTTACCTGTGCGATCGGGGCTAGGTGTCTACTGTTTCACGAGCTCGTTTACGCCCCCGGTAAGAATGTGCGATTATATTTATTTATTTTTTTTTTTTATATTTTTATTTTAATTTTTGTTTATTGAAATAATTTTTCATCACTTAGCGACGTTTGCCGAAACGCAAAAATCGGTGTTGTACCTCCGTGGATCCTGCACCAGGAACAGGTAGAGCGATACTTACTTGCAGCATTAAGACTGGGAAAAAAAAACAAAGATCAACAGATTATTTAATCTATAAATACAAAGAGAAGAGAAATATATAAATTTTATAGAATATAAGTATCATTACCAGCTACAAGGAGTACAAATAGTAAAGGAAATTTGAACATTTTTTTTATTAGAAACTATACAAAAATTGCTTCTACAGTTCTGCGATTGTCAGTCGAATGAACGTATTTTATACCTCGACAAAGTTTAAATACTGCTCATGAATATTTGTCGTTGATATTTCATTATTAAATTTTACGACAAGTACACGGAAAGTAAAATCGTGATTCGGACAGCGAAATTGGTAATTGAGACTAAAAACAGTCATTCTATGTGTACATATTGTTTTATGCGAGATTTTTCCATGCTACATAATAATCATGATTATAAAATTTTCGTAATTTTCGATCGGTAATTGATTATTATCAAAAATAGGTGCGGAGACATTAATAGAGACCTTATTTTTGAACTTTCATTTTCTTCACTTAGCGCCGTCTACCGTTACGCAGAAATCTGTGTTCTAAAATTTGAAAAAACGGCAACGACTTAAATGAATTAATTAATTTAATAGATAAAAGAGAGAATGTAAATGTCATTACTAGCTACGAGAAGTAGAAGTAGTAAAGAAAATTTGACCATTTTTTTTCTATTACAAGAACAACAAATTGCTTCCAGCTTTGCGATTGTCAATCGCGAACCAACTGATTTTATAACGTGATAAAGTTTAGATACAGTGCCCATAAATATTTATCACAGGAATTTCATAATTAAATTTTACGACAAGAGCCAGATTCGTCGACTGGGTGCTCGATTACGTATAAAAATGCCAGACTCAATTTACACTAGTATAGAAAACGATCGTCGACGTTATTATTAATTTGCAAATCTAATCAAAGTCAAATGCATATTAGAAAATTAATTTTTAATCTTGGTAACTATTTTTTTTTTAACGATTCAACCATAACTAGACTAAAAAGTTTTTAAACTAAAAAAAAAATGTCGAAAAATACTGAAATCACGATTTTATAGCTCACTTAGAGCTTTCATGAACGATTCATCTCTCGATGGGATCATTAAAATTCATTTATTAATAGATGCATGCTTTCTAGCGTAAGTGTAATGTAGCAGCGCATGTATGTCTTCGAATGTATTTAATACATACTATTTATAGCGTTTTTCTAAAACCACACACGGCATACTGTATCCATGACTGATGGAATTCGATGTTTCTTCTCTATATCAATTCATTACGTTCGTATTTAGACTAATATCGGTGTTTCATTTCACAACAATCGACCACCGACCGCAGTTTCTGCCGGTCACCGCCCAACTGAACAATGTATAAAACGGAGCATTACTATCTATTGCTCAGATGCATTCCACGAAATATCCACGCGTTACACTGATTCCCTGGAAAAAAAAAATTACCATACCTCACCCCGTACAACAATTTACCACCGTGTTATAAAAATATGACACCCCTTCGAAATAAATGACTGATAGTTCTGGAGACTCAAGGTTGGATACTCCGATATAAGTGAAAGTTAAATGCATCGTCGCGTACTCGATCTCGTGCGCGTGTTCGTGGGGGGGGTCCTATGGCGAATGAATGATCGAGCTTCACGATCGCATGTGGAGCGGCGCATCATATGCGCCGCCGCAACTGCATCGAGATGCAAATGCGAGAAAGTCGTAATTAATGATTTGATCGCAAGCTTTCTAAAGTATCAAATTAGTAATCATTCAAAAAATTGGTACACTGGAGTAAACTTGATCCAATCAAATGATAAACATGTATAAGAATAGGAGATTCTGGATATTCCTACGGACAAGAACGATGTTAACTCGATCCTATTGTTATATCCAAAAAATCGAGTCTCGTCACGCTGTTTCTCGACCTCGAGTTCATCATACCACGCGCGAGTCACGGGATAGCTTACGCGAATTCGGGCAATCTTCCAATATCGCCCCACTGTAATTCGGGATTAAACAATTATTATATATAGCGCGCATCTTTGTAATCTCGGGCGGTCGGCTCTCAGCTCTCGCAGACAGACGCACTAACATCTTGCGGTCTTCACGCGCTAACACCTTATCCTAGTTTTTTGTAATTGAGCTACAGCTGAGCCAATCGCGTGGTACATCATAACTAAAAGTGTAACGAAAAATATAATATCCATTTTATATGTGCAAACTCTGTAATAAAAGTCTTGTGTCAAACCTTAAACGTGTATCTCAGATTTTGGTGCAGTTAGATTAAAATAAATGTTCGGGTATTATTTAACAAATAGCCCGGACATAACACTATACTCGGCTAAATTAAACATAGATAAGATTTTAAAATGAGGATATATTTTGTAATGATTAATTTGAAACTAAATAAATTAAACTTTTGAATATATTTTAAGAAAACATTTTGCACTATTGACCATTTAAACATAAGAATGTGTAATATAGTAGTGCAAAAATATTTTCACTTCTTTCATGCGCTAAATCGAGCCATGTTCACGTTTCGGAATGATAAATATTAGGAATTATGAATATTCGGAATGTGTAAAATTCGGAATGTTTGAAAATCGGAATATTGAAAACGGAACGTAAAAAATTCGGAAAAACAAAATTTCGGAATGAAAAAATTTCGGAAAAATTAAAATTCGGAATCCACAAAATTTTTAGTGGGGAATTTTATAGCCTACATTTTCCACTTTGCGCTTTTTTCGCGCCATGCGATAAACATTCTAATCAGCGACTCGATCGTGGCTTTCGTGCCGCAAAACAGAGCCACGTGCAGCGGCGAGTTACCAAATAAATCCTGTGCGTCGATCTGGATGTCGTCAACAATCTTGAAAAATTGCTCGAGCCAAGCGTCGTCCTTGTCTCTCATGGCAACGATGTGCAGAGCCGTATATCCAAGCGCGTTGGTCAAATTCTAATCGGCCCCCCTCTCCAGTAGATACCGGGCCATCTTCTTGCCGTCTGCTTCCAGAGCCAAGTGCAACGGCGTATTGCCCGACTTGTCCTTGGTGTCGATCGGCACCGTCCGCTGGATATCATCGCAGATCACTAAAAACCACTCCATTAAGTCGTCGTCTATTTTTCGCGATGTAATGTGGTGCAGAGACGTCGATCCCTCCTCGTTGACTGCGTTTGGATCTGCGCCTCTCCTCAGCAGCCATTCGGCCTTTTTCTCTTGGCCGTTGTGCAGAGCCGAGTATTTCCCGTCTTATCCCGGGGGTCGATTATCACCTTTTCGTTTTCCTCTTCGGCGATCTCAAAAAATCGATCCAAAAACCGCACCTCGTCGAGACTCCCCTGGCAAACGACGTGCAGCGGCGTCAGACCTTCCGCATTGGTCAAATCTTGATCAGCCGCGTGTCTCAGCAGGAACTCCATCGCGTCCTCGCGCTCGTGCGTCGGAGCTAGGTGTAACGGCGCGTTACCCATCTTATCCAGGGCGTCGATCGGCACCGTTTCATTCAGGTCCTCGGCGATCTTGAAAAATTCGTTCACCATGTAATCCTCAACTAGGCTGCACTGGCTGATCAAGTGCAGCGGATTCGATCCGTACGCGGTGGCCAAACTCGGATCGGCGCCTCTCAGCAGCAGATACGAAGCTTTCCGATTTATCCCGTTGCCCAGAGCCAGATGCAGGGCCGTGTCGACCGACTCGTCGCGGGCGTCGATCCGGCCCCTGCGACGCAGCTCCTCGCGGTGATCTCGACGAACAGCTCCGTATCCAGACGCTCGCGGAGCAGGCTGATCCAGTGCAGAGCCGCGTCCTTCCGTTTTTGTCGGTCTGACTCGGATCGGCCCCTTCTCGCAGCAGCACCAGGGCCGTCCGCTTCCTGCGTCTCTTCAGCTCCCGCAGCAGCGGTGAGTTGCCCTCCTTTCTCCGGGCATCGAGCTCTATCGGTCGATTCGCTCTCTCGACGTGCTTGAAGAATAGCCCCATGAAGTTGTCGAGTTTCTCGCTGTCACAGATAACGTGCAGAGCCGTGGATCCGTCGTTGCAAGCCGAATTAGGACAGGCGCCTCGACTCAGCAGCGACTCGGCTCTCTTTCCTTGGCTGTAGTAAGCGGCCAGATGCAACGGCGTCCAACCGAGCTTTTCCCTGGCGTCGATATCCAAGCTTTGCCCTGTTTCCTCTACAATCTTGAAAAAATGCTCCATGGTTTCGACGTTGTCGTCTTGTCCGGCGCTCGCGACGTGCAGAGGTGTCCGTCCCTTGTCATTGACCAATCTCGGATCAGCCCCTCTTCTCAGCAGCCACTTGACCACCTTCTCGTTTTTGGCGCGCATGGCCCAGTGCAGCGGCGTGTCACTGTCCGATCGCAGTACAGAGCCAAGTTCAACGTCGTGTTGAGCTTCTCCCGCGTGAGGTAGTTGGGATCCTCGTCGAGGTAGTTCGCCTCGAATCTGTCGTATATCGCGAAGAGTTCGCCGATCAACGATCCGCCGTGTTCGATGGCTCGATGCACTGCCGTGGTGCGCATCGTGCCGTCTTCGTCCAGTTCGGGCTCGTCCTTGTAGCCCGTCCCGATCACGAATTCGATGAGTTTCCTCGTCGGTGCCGCCTCGACCACATCGCCATCGGCCGACTTGGCGATCTCCGAGAGTAGCCAATCCATTCCTAATATTTATCATTCCGAAATGTGAACATGGCTCGCTAAATCGCTAACGCCGATCCATCGCTTAAGTGGGGTACGGGTAGGGTTTTGACTAAATTTCAAAAAAAAATTTTTTTTTTTTTTTTTGAACATACAGTAAATCGAATTGACATATAAATCATACACATAATTAATAGTTATTTGAAGAATATTCAGTTAAATTTTCAGCCCAAAATACTGAAAAATAAGCTGGCTACAGCAAATTTTCACATGCAACGTAAACAAAATCCGGTGGACACCATCACTCAAAATCTACTCGACCGATCCACTTCATATTTTATACACTATTTAAGTAGATAATATATGAGGTAATGACGTCGAGATAATTTAACTTTTTGCATTTTTAAATGTTTTTTACGAACAAGTACGATGAATTTTTGCCTTCATTTTGACGAAAAAGTCATTTTTCTGTTCAAAATGATGCCAAAAACTCAAAAATCATATCTCGACGTCATTACCTCATAATTTATGTAGATAAATAGAGAAAAAATTTGAAAAGAATCGGTCGAGTACACGGAGAGAAAATGTACGCGATTGAGGGGGGACCTGTAGTAAGCAAAAATCGCTGGAACACTTGCCTAGCTCAATCGCTGGCTGTCCAGCAATGATCTCCGGAGACTCCACGGTAGGAGGTGCGAGCGGCCAAAGCGATTGAGCTAGGCAAGTGTTTCAGCGATTTTTGCTTACTACAGGTACCCCCTCAATCGCGTATATTTTCTCTCTGTGTAGATTTTCAGTTACAGTGTCCACTGCATTCGATCTTCTTTTCAGTTGTGCGAGAAAATTTGCTGTAGTTAGCTTATTTTTCACTATTTTTAGCTGAAAATTTAACCGAATGTTCTTCAAATAACCATTTATAATGTATATAATTTTTAGATAAATTCATTTTACTATGTGCTCAAAAAAAATTATTAAAATGCAGCTCAAAACCCATCGAACAAGACCCCCCCCCCCTTAACGGAATCACGTGGACCGAAAAAAGGTAAGCCTGTGTCTTTTGTCACACTCGCCTCCGTAAATACAAAGTTAAACTTCAAATTAACTTTATACTTTGTGTAAACATTACCGAAATCTCTCTTTGCGAGGGCGACAATTGTGTGTTTACGCATGTAACAAGTACGCCCGTTCGCGTAAGCGACATACCTACACATAAGTGCGCATATTTCTGCTGCCGAGAAAAATTGAATGATCTCCGGAAACGATCGTCGGCTTGACAAAAAAAAATCTTTAAGTAGCCGTTACTGCTCGCTCGGAAAAAGTCTCTCTTTAATAGAGAAGGACAATATTTGCCAGAGGCCTATATGCTCTACGCCTTAGTGTCGAAGATCCTTTAACTATATTACGTATACGAAGCGATGATAAGTCGCTTCTCGTTCTAATCGCCGCTCGTCGTTTATGCTTTCCAGGAGCGACTGAGAGAGAGTAAGGAAGCGCCGCTTAGAGGTCAAATACGGAATCGGCTATATATAATGCAATGCTTTCTCCATTATATACACGATGGCCTGTCGTTCCATTGTTTTCCTGCTTGTATACGTTCGTATACGTACTCCACGAGCCAGCGTAAAAAATGATGTTTGCCTTTTTGATTTTGTTTTATGAGATGTCAACACTTTTATTGTCGCTAAACCTGGTTCCGGGAGTTTCGGAGCTCGAAACTCACTTTTCGCGGCACCGCTCGGTGTACAAGGCAGCCTCTTTCATCGAAAATGGAGAAAATTCAATGATATGCATCATTATCGCCGCTCGGTCGTCTCGAGTTCGAAAAAGATGGCGGATTATATCATTAAATTAGTTACGGTGATAACGCACTAATGTACCGGACAATGGCCATCGTGGACATTGATAAATAACAAAATGTATCACAATCCTGTAGTATTATATATCGTTCTCGTGAAAATGCATATTCAATATATCCTCATGAGGAGTCTTCATTCAGACAAGTTTCGAAGTAATAATTGCCTCGTTAGAAATGATACGCTAACGTACACGAATTCAAACGATATTGAACGTTTGGTTCTGGAGCAAACAAGTTTTATCATTATCTATTCCGAGTATAGATGAGCAGGACCATACGACCTTTCTGGTGAAATCAACTTGTGTGCGCCACTTGAAAATTTAACTGTCGCTAAAGACTTTTTAAATAGCCCTCGCCAACTCGCTTGACCCATAGCGACCCTCTCGAGTTTCCGAGTGCAATCGGATCCTTCAGATCCGGCGATTACGACGTTTTGTCTCTCGTTTCCGTATGCTCCGTAATCCGTAATATTGATTTTGAATACATGGGGGGGGATATTTACATGTATCAGGACATTTCCTTTTTAGATTAGAGAAATTTCCCTTCCTAATCGAATCAATCTATTGAATGTGATTCAATGCTCGATTTCGTTTTTCGTGTAATCGAGTTTTTCGAGTGAATGCCCGTTTACTGCGCGAGGATTAGCCAAAGATGGGTCGGATCGGCCATTTGAAGAAGATGGATGAAAACATGTTATTCTTATGTATTTTTTCCCGCTGAATCCGAATATCATAGTTAAAAGTCGCTCAAACTGCCCAAAAATTTGTTATAAACAAATATATTGCAAAATGAAAAAAATTTAAATTTTTCTACATTTTAGACACATATTTGTGTTCTTTGAGCAATTTTAAGCAAAAAGTGTCTCTTGAAAAATTTTCGAAAAATGAGTATTTACCGAGATATTGAGACTCGAAGAGGAAAAAATGCACATTTTTGGCCATTTTCAAATACCCATAACTTTTGAAATAACAACGTTAGATGGATTTTAGACCCGTCATTTGAAAGATAAAAACTTAATCTTTAAGGTGATACTAATATCAAACATGATTTATCATACTGGACATGTTTTTTTGCACTACAAACATCGGCGTTGCCACGTTCTGATGGCAATGCACATGTCAGTAGCATGCGTAACGCGGTTACACGCTCTGACACGCCGATGTTTATAGTGCAAAAAAACATGTCCAGTATGATAAATCATGTTTGATATTAGTATCACCTTAAAGATTAAGTTTTTATCTTTCAAATGACGGGTCTAAAATCCATCTAACGTTGTTATTTCAAAAGTTATGGGTATTTGAAAATGGCCAAAAATGTGCATTTTTTCCTCTTCGAGTCTCAATATCTCGGTAAATACTCATTTTTCGAAAATTTTTCAAGAGACACTTTTTGCTTAAAATTGCTCAAAGAACACAAATATGTGTCTAAAATTTAGAAAAATTTAAATTTTCTTCATTTTGCAATATATTTGTTTATAACAAATTTTTGGGCAGTCTGAGCGACTTTTAACTATGATATTCGGATTCAGCGGGGAAAATTACTTAAGAATAACATGTTTTCATCCATCTTCTTCACGTGGCCGATCCGACCCCTCTTTGGCTCCAGGACTAGATCTAAAATTGGTCTAAATAAAGTAAAAAAATGTACATGATGTATTATCATTAACAATACGAACTTACCTGATATTGAACCAAGTAGCTTAGAATATATTTGGAAAACTTAGTTAAATCACTGATGTGTTTACATATAATTACCACTTTGCCATCTTGCGTTCAATGCTACAACTAGATAACGAGATCTTTAAAGTTTTTCAGAAACTTCGATAGTTATAGTTTATTGTTAGAGTTGGTGATTTCCTTGAAAAATGTGCCTATTAATTTTTATGCAAATAATAACATCTTTTTTGGCAAAATATCGCATTCCATCGACTCAATTGACACAACTAATCATTCAAAATGTTTATCATATTTATCAAACTTATCTATTTTGATCTTATTTTTACACTTTGTTTGTTTCTCGACACCTACCAATCGGTGCTACAAAAGCTTTTTTAGGTGTTAGTTTTCATATTATTTACAAAGATATACAATTGAAATACATAGAATAAAAAATGTACTTGATTTGTAATTTTGTGTAGAATGAAAAAAAAAATAATCACGAAGCTTTTTTTTGAGACAAATGATTTTATAATGACGAAATTATTCAAATTTTAATACGTGTTTCTATAATGTAATAAAGCGAGTTCAAAAACAAGTAGACCATTTGAATCATGATACTTTTCATTGTGTAATAATCTAATAACATGCGCAACAGCTCAGATTTTTAGAATGATTGAAGAATAATTTAAATCAGTTCTTATTACTTTTTTACAAAATTTTGAAAGGATTAGTCGAGCTGCCATTTTTCATACCTGGCTCAAAGCGACGAAAATTCACGCTAACCGTCTGTTTCACGGCTCAATTATCAATCAAAGCTGAAACATTAACGATACATCGCGCCATTCGTTTATTCTTCATTATGTTTTGTCACGTACAAAACATACGAGAAACATCGACTAAGCGTGCCAAACGGTGAATAGGACTCGATTGTCTTTAAAGGAAAATCGGACGAGAAACTGAATGGGTTTTTCCTTATTACGAAAAAAAATAGAAGAAGTGAGTTATGATTTCATATTTTCAAGGACACAAACAACACTTGACATATATAAATACGTATGATTTCGACAAAAATAATCACAGGAACTTTGTTGGCCGCATCCGAGTACGTCGTAAGCGGCAATAAAATATCGATCATAAGAATGTCGCTTTGCAGTGAAGCGAGACACGCGTCTGCTCTCTGGGCGACACACTTCGAGGCAAGCTGACTTCCGTATATAGTTTTTCCAAAATGTACAAACATCGAAGTAGTCAAGTGTCGCACACTTGTGCAGTACGGAACGATAATATATGCGAGACGGCTCCGCACTTTGCGGAAGAAGACGCTTGACACTCGTCTTTCTTCTCTATGCTGTAAAGCCGCGCGCGTGGATGCAATACGAGGACGTCGTCGTCGTCGTCGTCGTCGTCTCTCGGACCGACTCGGATGTGTTTTGTCAGACATTATTCGGGAGATTTTTATACGAGCTTAAGAATTTACGTTTATATGCGTCTGCCGGGGCGCAGCAGCT